AATTGTGTTCAAAAGGTAGTGGTAAATCACCCAGTGTAGCCCGGGGTTCTGCCTTGGGGCCGATGTTGTTTAACTTGTTTCTAAACAACATGAAGGTTGAAATTAGGAATTCAATTTCTGTATTTGCAGATGATACAAAATTATGGGGGATGGGAGGAGACTTGGCAGTTGAGGTTCCACGTTGAAAAATGCATAAATATGCATTTGGGTCCTAAAAACTTGCAAGCAAGATATTCATTATGAGGTGAAATCTAGAACTGGCATAATTAAAATGTATACACATTAAATAGCCTTTATATAAATTGCTAAATATTGAATATATAATTCAGTGTTATAGAACTTGGTTCTTTTTTTGTGTGTTTTCCCTTCAATTACTTTTTTTCTCTACTTTCATTAGTTTGTTATCTCTAAGAAGCAGCTTATTATTCATGTGGCAACTGTATCTTGCATAAATCTGCCATCAAAACTCTAAATTATTGACTAATTAATGTTCAATATTGCTGCATAGTTAGTTTTCAAGATAAAAAATTCTGTTGATGCTATTTTCTGAAGAAGGAAAATAAGAAAAAAAACCTTTCAAACGGCACCATACAGGCACACAACAATACAACACTTTTGTGTCATTATTGGAGTCCACATAGATCCTGGTAGAACCTTCTTCATAACAGACAAATCAATAGAGGTTACACATCTTATTGTCAAAGTGCACAAAGCAATCAAAATCCCCCAAATTACACCTTTTATTAGATGAAATAGAGAGAGGAGAATACCCATCGATCTTTAGCAAGTCTCAGTTGGAGCGCCAAATCTTGACATTTCTTGGTAACGATGACTGATATCTTTGTAAACTGCATTATGTCGTTATGGTGCAGTACTATGCACAATGGCTGTTTTTATCTTTGCACATACAGTACATAATGATACAAATTGCACTATTTTTTAGCTATACAGGTATTTTATTTATTTATTTTATTTATTTTGCTCTTACTTATTTCATTTTTTTCTTTGTAAGGCAAACTGAAAGGGACCAAGCATAGCATTAACCTAAATGGTCAGAAGAAAGACAGGTCTATTTGAAAAATCAAGCCTTTTGATTGGTTCTATGTGCCCGAGGAAGTAAAACAGATATTGGTGTCCATAATTATCTCACAAGTGCCTGCAGCTTATGTAATGAGGCAATGGAGGGAATTTATCAAACGTGTCATGAAGGGATAGAATTCATTTTAGCTGCCATGTGAAGTTTTGTTTCAGGTGTTGTGATATATTCACTATTAGATCACTGCTTGTTCTATAAATTTGTTTCTAAACATTAAGATGAGCATGAGGAGGCTGTATGAGAGCAGAAGTTAAATGCAATCCTTAGCCATTTTGAAACAAGGTCTTGGGCAAAACCTATATGTGTGCTTTAGTAATATTGACTGTCTCATTGAATATCGTAGCATAAACTTGAGACTATATTTATATTTTCACCATTTTATGCTGTTGTGTATTCCTTTAAAGCTGAACTGTAGACAGTTATAAACAAGACAAAGCTAATGCAGCTGTGTTATCATTAATATATTATTACATGTATTTTTATTTTTTACAGCATGCAGTGCCCAAAGGTATTAGCCCCTTATAGTCCCAGTAGAACAGAGCTCAGACTAGGAGGAAGAAAGAGGCAGTCAGTCAGTTCATTTGATGATAAGGACCATGCTCACAGGAAGAGGAAGCAGAGTGATAGAAAGATGAGCTTCTTCCTGTGCTGCTTCTCCTTCACTGTCCTTTCATTCACAGACTGGGGTAGGTACATGACCCCCAGGGCTCAGGGGAAGTAGGTTTTTGATGATGGTTAACATTCAACACAGAAGAGTAAGAACATCTAGGCTTTTTTATCCTTGACTGGAGTTTTTAATTTAAAACATCATCCCTTGCATAGCATTACAAAGGCTGGGAGATTGAGGGGCACCACCGGAAGTCAAGCAGACTGTTCTGCATGATCATGTACTGACAGAGAAACTGCCTAACAACGTTAGCAAAGTAGATGACTCATCATGCTGTATTTACTTCATTGTTAAGTCACAGGCAAGTTAGGGAAGTAACACTTTTTTTAAGTTATGTCACCTTCCTGGCTGTGTTGTTTGGCACAGGTATATGAAGAATGAAAGCAGCTAAACATAATTTAAAATCCGTTAACAGATAAGGGTCACATATGTGTACTTTAGCTTTGTATATAGTTGCCTACCTTGAGTTTAGTTTCTGGGCTCATCCTCTCATAACCTAGTTGTCCTACTTCTTCCCCATAGGGAATTTTGTGTTTCTTCATACATACCTTTCCCAAATGTCTTTAGTCCAAAAATGCTATGATCCTCTCTCTCTGCATCTTTTTCCTGTGGTGAGTGGTCCTTAATGCTAAAGAGAGTGTGGCTGACTTGATGATGACAGCACTGCTATCTGCATAATTATATGTGAATGTAGGTTCAGATGCTTATGTCCCTCAAGAGCAAGTCATGAAACCTGTACTCAAAGGATGTCCTCAGTTTTACAGGCTGAATGCTCTCCAGCACTCACAGGATGTACTTAAATTTTAGGATCAAATGACACCCAGCATCATTTAGCTCGGAAGACTGAAGAGTTCTAGTCCCATTGGAATGTTTATTAAGAAAAATAGCAAGAATTTGGGTTTTAAATCTAAACTATGTTCTGGCTAAAAAAAATTAAAAATGACTGTGCCTTAATCCAGCATATGCTGGATGTAGTGCTCATTTGTCTAGGGGAATAGAGTTTTACACCTACCTTAGTCCAAGGTCCTGTGGCAAGCAGTGCTGCAGTCTTCTTCTCTTATGCCCCAGAATATGGGTTGACCCACAAAGTAATCAGGTACAATGGAGAACTAGTGCAGGCAAGAGGAGCAGGAACATGACCAAAGAGAAAGAACAGCTTCTGGACTAGCAGGGAGGTAGTCTGTGGGACCATGGATTAAGGTAAGTATTCATCTCTAATGTATTCCCCTGGACAGAAGGAGTATTATTTCTTGCATATGCTAGGGAGAGACAAATTTAGAGGGTTATTAACAAAGCTGAAGGCTTGTACAGCTGATTTCAGCCGTACATCGCCCCAAACCGCCCCCCCACCCCAAGTGCAGAAGGACATGATCCATGGTACAGAGCAGAATAGCAATTCAATAAAAAGAGTAAAAATAAATAAATAAAGTTGAAAATATATTCTTTAAAATGTAAAGACATGTTAAATCTAAAAAAAAAAGATTAATTAAAAAAAAAAAGCTGGCTCTGCCCAGCTGTCATTTGCGAGGCGTGCGGCTGGCCTTCCAGGTTTTGTGAATAGACCCCTAATATTTTGGGCTTTAAACAAAATTGTGTGCACCCATAAAAATCAAAGTTTATGTGATCCTTTTATGAGGACATGACTGGACTGGTTTGCCTATTCATACCCTCCAGATTCTCATATAATACACAGCCCAAAATTTGAAAGTGATGCAGCCAGACTGGTAAGTACCTGCTCTACTTGGGATTTGTAAGGATTCACTAGAGAGCATTTACCAGCTATTGTGATCTGGAAGCTCTAGGTATCAAGGCAGAAATTTGCCCTACATGTTAGAAAATCCATGTGGTTATTTAGCATATGCATCATTTTATCCACAGACGGAAAACTGACTTTCACTGTGTATACATCGTATGATCAGCTGACTCAGAGAGAAAAATGTTGGTGGGTCCCAGCAGTCCAGCTATCTGAATCACCAACTTTATCTTGTGCATCTATTTCTGCCTGTTTATGACTACCCTTTTTTCAGCCATCATTTTATATGCTACATTTTTTTTTAGCCAATTAGGAATTTTGCAAACATGCCACATTTTTATATATACTGTTTTGAAGTTTGCTGTTCAAAGTAAACTATATATATTGCAGGATGTCTTTGAGGTCTTTCATTAAATTATATTGGGGGATTATGTAAATAGGATAATGTGTGCTACCACTTGCCTTTGATATACTTTGCTTTATATATTCAAAAGATTAAGGCCACCCTCTGTGCGGTAAGAAAGTAGTTTTATACACTGGCAGGAAGCCTTGAGAAAATTGCTTAAAGGTAACACAGGTCAGAAAGATACACAACATTGAAGAGATATTGGTAGGAGGTTGATCATTTAGCATTGATTCTTATCAAGCTAAACTGTTCATTGGTATTGGAAATGGAAAAGAAGGTTTTAGGTGCTCATATACTAAACACTTATTTAGTATTTATTAGACAATTTTTCACAGTGTAGCCCTACAATTGTTTCCTATATGTTGGGAACATATGTGGAAATACTATGTTTTTTTAGCGGAGACAGGAGCAATTACAATTCAGTTTTGGCTTGACATCTGATTTAAATAAAAAATGATCCCAGTTAGAAATTGGCCATAGCACGATTCTTAATTAGTATTTCGATACAATGTACACTGTACTTGAAAACTTTTGTAGCTTAACCCACTTTGTAAAATACTAAGTTTATGGTAACTGTATTGGAGTAATGTAACATCTTCAAAACATATTTTCTAACATTTTCTGAGGATTTTTGCTTATTTAGTTTGTATTAAAGATAACAGTATATTACATTATATTCAGCTGGAAACACCAACATGGCAGGGCACAGTTAGGTTTTATATATTGCTCCCAGGCCTTGTTATAAACATTGACTTTGCAAAACTTACCTCTGCTGGTAGCTTTCATTAATATTAATCAGCAGCTTTGTTCAGGTGGGTGATGTTTCATTCTCCCACTGTATTTGGTCACCAAGGAAGACCCAGAGCTAGGAAAGTAGTGAAGCTTTTATCACCATAAGAGGTACCCACTGAACACTACATGTTTTAAGAGAAACCCATTAAGAACTATACAGGAGACAAAACCATAATAGATGTTAACTGTTCTTTAATACTTTTCTTTAACAAAAATGTGTTGATTATCTTAAGTTAAAGGATTATGTTTGCAAGTTTACAATATTTTATGCTTTCAAATTCAACAGGGGCTGGAGGTTGGTCACCTTTGGACAGTGACCATTATCAGTGGCTGCAGGTTGATTTTGGAAGCCGGAAGCAGATCCGTGCAATTGCTACTCAAGGGAGATACAGCAGTTCTGACTGGGTGTCTCAGTACCGCCTACTATACAGTGACACTGCAAGAAACTGGAAACCGTATCATCAAGATGGAAACATATGGGTAAGTTATAGTAATTTCCTGCTAAATATTATTACATGTCTTACTGTATACAGTAGCAATTTGCTGATATCATGCAAGAAAAATGTAGAACTTTTAGAAAAATAAATCATTTTTGTAATAAAGCTTGTATAGAGAATACAGATTAAAAAAATAATATGGAGCTGGACAAGAGGCACCATACAGTGCCTAAATGGACCTCTTTTGTAAGATATTTCCCCCTTCCAGCATCACTGTATTTGCTGCATATATGCAAACTTTTGGATAAGGATATAGAAGATGTGCCCTCATAATGCAGTGACTGGTGTCTGAGTGGCTTATATATAGGTTTGAGAGTTGTCCTGTGTGCTGAATGCTGCAGCTTATACAAATGTCCACTACAAGAAACGTGTTATTTGTCTAGAAAAATCTGTAGTCTCATATCGTAGGTAGGGTATTCAGGCACTTTATGCCTGATTCACACTTTTGCAGTGTGTAACCATACACACATTAAGGTATGTTATGTCACATCTTAATGTACGTTGCAGAAAGAGACCTATGCTTTTATTGCAGCACACTACAAAACACAGAAAGTTTACATGTGTGCATTGTGATGCACTAAATACAGATCCATTGTGATGTGTTTGGGATGTGCGTTTTGTGTATTATGGCAGCGTGTTTTGAAACATAACATGAAAATGTAAAATCAGCCTTAGGGTGCATGCTAGTCTTGTGTTCATCTGCAACTCTTTACTCCTTTTTTTTTTTTTTTAATTAAATCTTTATTCAAGTTTTTGACATCAAATTTTTACAACAATTTCATACAAAGTTAACATTCTCCATTCTTCCCATACAACCCCAGCCCTTCCCACACCCCCTCCATCCCTCCCCTTTCCCCAATATAGACCTCTCCGGCCACTCTAAGGACAAGGCACAAAAATTCCACCCCTCCCCCCAAAAACCCCTCCCTTTTCTACCCTCTTTTCACCTTCAAATTGGCAATCTATGGGCCCTCCCCATGGGGCTACCTCCCCCATGTGTCCCAGACCTAATGCGGGTGTGAAACTGTGCAAAATAACAGACCTGAACATATAAAAATAAATAACAGTAATAAACATCCCCACCCCCCCCCCCCCCAAGCCATTTGTCATTACCCCATTTCAATAGTGCTACTAGGAAACAATACATTGGGGTATTATACTTTACACATGTCCCACATATATTCCATAAACCGACCCAGGAACATACTAAACATTTTTTCCCCGTGACCTTCTACCTCCTGCAATAGGCGGTACACCGTGAACGACACCACCCTCTGTATACTACTACAAGGAAAGATAAGGAAAAAAGGGAGACACAAAGAAGACAAGGGGATAAGCAAGGAGGTCCTCTGTTTGCGCCCCCCCCCCAGCTAATCCCCCTGCCCGCACCCAGTCCCCTTCCTATAACCCCCTCCTTTTCTGTTTTATTTGCCCAGATCGTTGCCATTGTTGGTCTAACTCCGTCCTTGGTTTCCGCGCATATTCTGGCCACCCCGGCAACTCTGTAGGGGTAATGTCCATTTTCTCACAGAACTCCACCAGGTCTTCCGGGTGCCGCAAGGTTGCTGTTCTACCTTCGTGCGTTGCGATGAGGCACGCTGGGAACCCCCATCTATATGTGATTTGCCTACTAATTAAGACCTGGGTCAGGGGTTTAAGCACTCTCCTGCGCGCCAGAGTCTCTGGTGCCAAGTCCACATATGCCTGGATATTGACCCCATCCATAACCATCTCTGATGCGTTTTTCATGCTTTCCGTAATTTGTGCTTTATCCGCATAGTAATGGAACCGTACTATTACATACCTGGGGTTCTCTCCTCCGCTTGCTATGGGGCGCCTTATTCTGTGAACTCTATCAAAAATTATCTCTGTAGTCCTGGGGCGTCTCATACCCTTCTCCATGTACCTGCACTGGTCCTGCAGTTCCTGAATCGCTTTGGTGTGCACATCAAGCCTTTCTTCCGTGTCCTCTACCCTTTTTAGTACTTGAGACATCTCAGTTCTAATTGTGGTAAGGTCTGCTTTAATTGAGGCTTCCATGTGTCCCAGTAACTTAGTAAGGTCTTCTTTTGTGGGTAGGGATTGGGCTAATGTATGTAGCGATAGTGCAGTACCTTGGTGGAAATCGTCCGAGGTCCCCGAGAATGCTGGTGAGCTGAGTCGTCCATCCGTGTCTCCTGCTGTTCGGTCTCCGCGGTGTCCTGGGGATGGCGCCTCGTCAGCTGACTGTGCAACCTCTCCTCCTTCCCGTGCGCCGCATCCCTGTGACGTTGGTTCCGGCGCCCAGAGCCGTCTGATTGCTCCTGCTCGGGGGCCTTTCGTGGCGTCTTTCTTCTGGGCTCTCCTGCCCCCCATCGCTTAATCGTGAGTACAGACTCCTCGGTCCCGTCACCCCCGCCAAGTCAAAGTACCGGGTCAGCAGGCCGGCTTAATCGGCAACAGTGCTCTGCTATTGTGGGTTCCTATTCACCCGGCTTGGGAGGGAGCTCGTGGATGTCTCAGCTACTCACTGCTCAGCGCCATCTTAAGCAGGCTCCACCCCCTTCTAATCAACTCTTTACTCCTGATACAGGTTTACTCTAATCAGCATTTTCTTTTTAATGGAAATTTTAAATGTTCACAGCAGATAAGCCATAGACCAATGCTGATTAAAAAAGGATGTTTTTGATGTAATTTTTTCTGAAATCCACCTCCACAAAATGTTATCTAATTATTAAGCACTGTGGTAACATTATTCACGTTTAACTATATACACTAAGTGTATATAATGATATAACAGTTTTTCTTTACATCAATGTATTATTCTGACAAAAAAATACCTTCATTGAATATAATAAAATGTCCAGGATAACAACTTTTCATGTGCCAATCTATTTTCATAAAATGGGTATTTACTGATTAAATTTTTTAATAAAATGTGGCACATATTCCAAATAAATATATAAGGTAATTCAATACAAGCAAGGACATTTTATTAACAAGATCGATGTTCTGTATTAAATGACTGGATTTGAGGCCTTACTATGTAGTGTAGTTAAAAAATTAAGACAGATTACTAAAATATATTATGCATTTATCATAAAGCTAGCACCCATTGTGCACTATATTTCTGATTGTTGATGAGTAAGATTAATTAAAGTAGAGTTTGTGTTGATTGCAAAAGTATATTAAGTGAGCAGATTAGATTGTTATGGTTCAGGGAAAGAATAGGCAACTTGTTGAATAGAGAGTTGAGGTTTCTTGTATGTCTTGGTCAGCTGAATGGGAATCTGGTGTGGAGAAGCATTTGATGTTGATTTATAATATATTGAATGTTAGTACAACATGTTTGGTTTATTCCATTAAATCATGTACAAGACCTTTTATTACAAGATTCTGGTGTAAATACATTAGTCAAGAAAATGATGCTCTTGAATAATGTGTGAACAAGAATAATGCGTGAACAAGGAATTACTGAGGCATAATAAAGCATACACTTCAAGGTCAATAGAGATTTATCTGAAGATGGTCAGAAAGCACAAGCCATCCACTGCACCCTTAGAGCCACATTTTTGCGCAAGATAGTTATCCTAACTAGACCATTAACTCTGTAATGGCCTTTAAACAATCCTCATTTGTAGACTATATTTAAAAAAAAACACAGGCTTTGGGTCAACTAGCTTATTACACCACTATGACAATTCGTTTGGGGGTAAAAAGTAGATTTGGGCTGTACACAATTCTCTTTGCAAGTTCCTATAGACCTGACTTTTTTATTCAGGGGTATAGCTTCTAAATACGTAGCTACCTATGCCATAACTAAAGTGGTAAACCTATTTTGCCAGGCATTGCCAGCAACTGTAGTCCTTTCCAAAAATTCTTTCTTTTTTGGTGTCAGCATACCTATGGCTGAAAAAGCCATAAGGCATTCTAGCTATGTGCCTAAAGATGCAGCTACTGAAAGGAAGTTTGTTGTTACAATTTTGGTTGTCAACATCTGCAAAAGAAGAAAAATTGAGGTATTTCCATAAAAATAACATTCAAAAGCCGTGTCTACTACAAAACTCTATACTGCATATCAGTGCTGTGACAATGTATTTCAGCACCCAAGGCAACATGGGCAAAGGGCACCCCCCCAATTTTGTCCTATTCCTGTTCAAATATTTTCCTAGATGTACCTTTCCTGTTAAGCACATTATGTACTTGCTTGTGTTTACCTGTTCACCAGGTGACAGACGGGCCTCAATTTGTGGAGACAAAACCTCTGTTAATAATGAAAGTAACAAAAAGAAAGAGGAGGTAGCCATAACTTTTGTACCATCTTCCAGCACAGCTAGCACCCAACAAGGTTAAGAGATATCTGTTTTCTAAAATCCAGAGCTCTTGTAACCAATAGGTCTTAATTTACTTTATATGCCATTTCTGTACTACAAAAGAGTTAGCAGATATTGTTAGGAGACTTGTCAAGATATCTACCTATGAGCAGGGCAGATCCTTTACTCTTCTGTGTGGAAGGCTGAAGTGTAAGGACACAGGCTTTTATCTTTCAAATGTTCACGTTCAGATATCTACCTATCTTTGGCCAGCCTTAAACATAACCACCCAAACCAGAGGCTAATACAGGAGCAGGTTATATATCTTGTTTGTTTATGTTTTATTATTGTTTTCAAGCAGAGCTATCAACATTTGCCCCGATACAAGCAGTAAGTGTATACAGAGTTTTAACAGAAGTGCTCCCAGAAGTCCTAAGCAAACATATTTCAGGAAGTAAGTCCTCAGACAGCTCGAAAGACAGCAGCAAAAACCCACTAGACATGGCAAACAGAACAGGCCAGGTAATGCAAAAGCTAACTCAGCAGCAAGCAATGAAGCAAAACAGAGCACAGATATTCAAAAGGTTTTGAGCCATATACTGCTATTCTACAATATTAAATTTGCTGCTGTAAAGACAAAGATTTGGTGAACCAGGGGCAACATTTTAACATATTTATTAACAAATAGGCC